AGTTTTCCAAACAAATGAAAGAGGATTGGTTTCATTTTCATTCCCAGATGCAGAATGTCCACTGCCATCTGTGTAATTTTATAATTTCTGGCTGTTGTGAGCTATGCCAAACTATTTGTCTTTATTTCTACAATAAAAGAAAGAATGTGAAGTTGCACAAATGCAGAAATATAATTTGTTTCCCTAAAATGGCTGCAGATAAAAGTGACTAACAACCAAAGGGTTTGTCTTGAAGCCCACTGTTGCTGTGAGAGTTTGAAGTAGATGCTCTGAGGTTTCTCCGCTGAATGATCACAGACGTTTCTTCATCGAGCAGATATTTCTGTGGCCACAGACCTCGGCTTTTGTGTCAACTCCAATGTCATGGCAGATTTGAGAGTGTGCTGCTGCCCTCTTCGAGCACATTAGCATTTCTCCTCTCTCCCCCCGCTGCACTCTTCTCCCTCTGCAGTCTTCCTTCTGATGTCACGCCGAAGCTCAGACATGTTAACACGAACCTTCATGCTAGCGCAGATCAGGCTGTCGCTGGAGAATATTCTTTTACCTGCTGCCGGAGCACAGGAAGACTTTTTCATTTTCACCGTCTCCGTTTACAATAGATCAGAGGCGTCTGCTGCACGGCTGAACTCCTGAACTCCTGTATACATTACTAATGAACCTCTAGATTGTTATACAGTCATATGTTAACAGGAAAGACAGGGGCCCTCTGTCTTTGTGTGTGTGAGAGAAGAAACCGATGCAGCACCGTTGTGAAGGGTTCTTGGCCCGGGCCTGCTCTAATTGATAGGGGCTGCTGGTATTTACTTACATTCTCTGGGTGGATTAAATCTCAAAGGTGGAGATGGAGATTGTTTGTTTTTCTCTTGGCTTCGTTTATTATGCATGCATATATATCTGTGTGTGTGTGTGTGTGTGTGTGTGTGACTGACTGCTGTGGCTCTTCACTTCTCCTTCTTCCCTGACGAGAGATGTGGAATCCTTTAAAGCTGCAGCATGTCCAGGCACCACAGAGCAACAAATCAAATCAGCACTGCAATGTATGTGCTGCTCTGCTGGCTTGGGTTAATGTGTGCATGTTTGTGTGTCCATACGTGCTGCACCAAGACTTATTTGCTGCACACAGTCAATACTAAATATTATTCCCTCTCTAGCTACTCTTTCAATCTTGGTTTAATATGGACGCCAGGTCTGCTCTGGCAACTGTTCTGCTGCGGAGTCTCAAAGTACATCTGAGATCTCCCTGCTGAAGCTGTGAAAGAGCTCTGGAGGAGGAACAGAACCAGTGATCAACAAATACTGATTACTGGCCGACCGTAGGCGACTATCGAGGAAACACACGCCACAGGCAGCAGATGAGAGGTTTTCTCGGAATGGCTGGAATACCGAAGGCCGCAGACACAAAACTGAAAGCTGCTGATTACACTCAACAAATTGGAAGACAGGGCACACACTCACTACAGTATGAGATTACAAACCCTGTCTATGCTCCGACTGATTGGAGGCTCATCCTACGGCCAGCGCTCATTCAATTGTGAATCTGTGGTTGTAAAAAAAAAAAAAAAATCCAAATGGTAAAACTGTAAAAACATCAGACTAAGAGATATTTTCTAAGAGTAGCAGCTTTTAAAAATGATTATCTTAAGCTGCATCAAGTTTGGTACGTCTACTGAGTGCAGGGTGGAGGAGTTGTGTTGCGTCAGGTGCCAGTAAAACAATAACATCTGATCCAGGAAGATCCTTGAGTTGGTATTTTATGGCTCATTGCAAGTTAGGCTGCACCTAGAACTTGTTTTCTATCTCTTCATCATCTGTTGATTATTACCTCTGCGTACGAGCTCATGTTTAGTCCTCTTTAAGTTTAGTTCCATTTTTTTCTCTTTCGTTAATTTTTAAAATGCGATTTTTTTTTGACATTTTTAACAATTTCTCAAACAAAAATGTATGAATCTTGATGAAAATCAGATTCAATCAAAATAAAATCAGGCATGTACTGAGTGCCGTTTTTAGTTTTGTAAATTAATAGCACTTGAGGATGACATCTTCAAAGATGTTATTTTACGCAACCAACAGACAAATACCCAAAGACATTCAATTTACTGTCGTAGAACGACACCCAGACAACATTGTTTTCTAAATTGATGAAGGAGCCGCGTAGTTTTTTTGTCTCTCTGAACCAGCGACGCAGCCAGTGTGTCAGTCAGATTTTCTCGCTGTTTCAGATTCATCCAGTTTTTGCAGAGGCAGAAACAACAGACCCCTCAGGGACTGAGATGCAGCATGTGTGCAGCTGCTTTACAGGCTGCAGACAGCGGCTACCGATCACAGATGGTGACTTACAAATGGTGGTTAGACTTCAGTGGCAACAGACGAGTTGTGCGACATGCACAGCAAGACAACACTAATTTGTCAGTTTAATTTTGCATGGCAGAAATTCACCATCTAGCCCTCTAATACCCAGGGCGTGAGGCATTTGCTGTCAGGGTTGTAAATCGGTGAATTTGAGTTTTATGCTGCAAAATTGAACTTACAAGATTTTGCAACTGTGACTTTTTAAGGGTCTAATCCTGGATTTATTAAAAACAGACACTGATGTCTTCTTATTTTTGTCTAGGAAGGGTTTCTCAGTTCATCAATAATTTTTCTCTTAATTACAACAGAAACAAGTAGAAATGAGAAAATAAATGCAACATCCAGATCCCTCTTTAAAGGAAACAAGAGGTTACTCACTGGCTTTAAGTAAATAATGTGAATCATATGGCAAAACCTTTATTGCCACCAGATCGCTACCCAGTAGAAAACCTGCAGAAGATTTTTTTATGACGTGTTAGGAAGCGCTCTCCACCCGCAGCATCAAAACTGAGACCAAATGTGGAACCATCCCCCGAAGAAGAACGTTCATCCTTCCAGTGGAGTTCAGAGAAGCACTGAGGCTCACGGTGGATTAACATTTTACTTCAACCCTTTATTGTGGCTTCTCCTTTCATTTCTCACCCAATTGTGAAACATAATTAAAGATTTTATCCTTATTGCCCACCCCTACTACAGACTTCTGACCACAGTGAACACAGATGCTGGGTGGAGTTCAAACAAGGGCTTCCTTGTTAAAGGCTAGAATTTAATCATCTGAATTTTAGGCTTTAAAAAGTCATGAATGTTACGTGCTAGGTCTTAAACAAGTGTAGGTAGGTCTTAATTATGTTAATGTTAATTTAACGCTACTTGGCTAAAAGTTTTGCAGGCACAGTTTGTGACGTCTCTGTGTATTTCTGTTCTTTCTCAACGATACAGATATTAATTTCCGATAATAAAACTACAATCAAGACCGATGTTGAACTGATGACAGATTGTCTACAAACACCTCGGTCCGAATATATCTCATTACACTCAGCTTGACTGTGGGAAAGTCTATGAATAACAGCGGTCTCTGTCTGTGTAGATAATGTCGTAAATTCAAATTCAATTATTTGGAAGTATAAGTAAATCTGCAACTATGATATTCTGTAATGTTTGTTGTACTTGACACAGGTCTTCAAAAATCGTAAATTGAACTTGTTGAACCTTCAGAAACCTTGTGATACAGCGGTTACACTCAGCACACTGAGCCGGTGGCATTAACGTGACCTCACACATAAAACAAACAGAACAACAGCAGATCTCACGTTCCTTATGAAGATTCTCCACATCTAATATTCTGCTGAAAGTGGCACAGAAATGGGGAAACTGGAAAAAAAGCTTCCCAAACGACACCCTTAAAATGCAACGTTTCCCACCACCCAGTAAGATTTCCTTTTGTGCCGAGGTGCCTTTCTTTTCCATCTCTGTTAATAACCTCATCCTCCAAAACCTTTTGATTTCATCTGTGGCTGTTTTCACGCCATGTTTGTGCACACATGCAAGTTAACTGCGTGTCTTTGTGTGTGTGCTTGTCAGGTCGGAGATTGCAGTGTTGATTATTCGTCTGATGTTGTCGACAGAGTGACATCCCTTCTAATGAAATAATGGTCTAGTGGCAGAGTGCTGGAGAATTGCACATTGTAGACTTCAATTACAGACAAGATGATTTTTTTCCCGCTTTCCTTTCAGTCAGAAAAGTACAGGTTTTCTTCTCTTGTACGTGCTTACATTGAACAAAGAGGCTGAATAAAAGGCTTTTTTCCAGGCGGACTTGGGTCTAAGTGTTTTTTTCTTCAGATAATGGATAGAATGTACAAGGCGAGCCTTAATTCACGATCTCTTTAGCCAATCTGATGCCACAAAGCAGCCATTGCCCTCCATGTGTGCACAAATCAAGCCGAGTGCTGGTTGTTTTTCCAGCACAGAGTAGACATTCATCACCGTTGTAATGTCTCCTCTTTTCTCTCGGATGCATTTCGCTCCTGTTGCATGTATTATTCTCTGGATCTCGAGATTTATTCCGAACAACAAATGATTTTTCTAATGTTCCAGTTTTCAGCCGTGTCCTCTGTGCAATCTGGTATGAAATTAACATACATTACCTAAAAATATGCTTCTTTATCGCGAACACTTTTTTAAAACATAACAAAGAGGGAAAGGGCATTTTGTTTGACTTCTTCTTTTATAGAGGATAATGTAAAAAATTGTATAAAATAAAACCAAGGGCAGACATCACAGGAACATTTCTCACCTCACAGACGGGTGGTGTTTGGTCTTTTTGTTGGTGGCAATACAGAATTAAGCATAATTCACTGATGTATAATTTCATGGGTCAGAAATTACTTTAAAACAGTGAAACGCTTTTCAAATTGATATCATGAGGCTCAGAGTTACGGTGCTACAAACATTTCTAGCGACACTAAGATGATGATGGAAAATGTTCATGAACCAAACTCTAAAAGTGAAAATCAATGTAAACCTTTACTTGTTGGTTCTGTATCTGTGAAAGTGAAGCTGTTCTCTACTGTTTTTTCTTTTGAGAGGGTAAACGTTGTTCAGATCCAGTTCTGCTTTGACCAACTCTCTTTATGTCTCTGTCTTTTCAGGGTGGACCCCATTCCATATGATACTCCCAAGCCGGCGGGACACACCAGGTTCGTGTGTGTGTCTGACACACACTCGCGCACAGACGGCATCCAGATGCCCTACGGCGATGTGCTGCTGCACATGGGCGACTTTACCGAGCTGGGCCTGCCCTCCGAGGTTAAGAAGTTCAACGACTGGCTAGGTACTAAGCTGCTTAACGCACGCATTCATCTACATGCACTGGACGCACGCATGCCGCTTTCACACTTATACACCTCTGACATGCGTGTGTCTGTGGTGGGCAGGGGGGGGGGCTGAGGCACGAGACATGTTGCGTGTACAACCAGTAACTGCACCACACAATGAATCTCCCCCCTCTTCCCTGTTGACCTCACAACTGCTGCGCTTAAGTGTCCAGTTTAACCCTTCTGACCTAACACCCTACTCCAGTTAACCTTTGACCTCTCCTTCTGGCCCCATGCTGTGGGTGGGAGCTCTCGGCTGTGTGTGTGTGTTTTCTATCCCAGCAGCCAGTGGTTTCATCTGTGATGCTGCCAGACGAGAGCTCAAAGTAACTGAAGTATTTCTAATGTAGTCATGTTTCACTTATTGAAAAAACACACACACAAATGCTCCATCTGACGTTTCCACTCAGCAAGAAGTGTCTAAATCAAGAAGTGCCCCCCCACCACACTGACCTGCTGAGTTTTTACACATTAGAATTTCTCTGTTTATCAGCAAATTGTATAAACACCCTCTTTTCAACTAATGAAAGAAACACGATATCTGAAAGACTGAACAAAAACGTAAATCTCGGAAGCGTTGTGATAGCATACGAAACAATCTAAGATGCTGGCCGATGCAAAATAAGTCAGAGACGTTTTTGTATTAAATTTCTGCATATTCAATATATCTCTCTGTCTGATAGTGGCAAATAAATATGCATTGTAAAAACGGATGACAGGAGAACTCACTGTGCTGCTTTATGCTTGGATGAAGGAGGAGGCTCCACATGAAATGTGATGTTGTGTGATGTAGAAGGAATTAAAGATGTGAGATTGGTGGAAACGCTTATCTAAAAAAAATCTGTTATTTTACCATCTCATTACAACCCTCTTCTGCTCGGAGGATAATTATTAATATGTAGTGAGAAATAATTGCAATCGAGCGAGAATAACAGCAACGATCCTGTTCAAATTGTAACTTGCCTTTTTTGAAAGAATCCGTTATGTTTTGGACGTTCAGCTTTTGCCAAGCTTGAAGTTGAACTCCTCTCAAAATCTATGTTCTGAGTATCAAACACTCACACCCCCCCGTCAAGATGAAAGGTGGCTGTCAAAGTTTTGCCTCTCTAAAGACGACAGCAGTGGCAGTCAGCCTGGATTCACAGCAGCTCCAGTGGATTTCCAACACTGACCCACTTTTCACAGCCAAAAAGATAAAATAAAAATAATCCAGGCATCTATAGAAACTTTTCAAGCCACTCCTGCAGCATAATCCACTTCTCAACTGTCCGTAGGTTTGCTCGCTGGGTTTTGTCATGTTCAGCACAGCATTCTGCTTAAAGCCGTCCCGCCATGCTTTTCTGCCGGGCGTTAAACCTGAGGTTTTGTTTAAATTACAGCCAGTGTTCAGCATTTTGAGGGTTGTTTTACAGTTCACACGGGAACTGTTGAATCTCTTCCTCCATATGTTTATGTTCACTACAGCTGCAACCACAACTGCTTTGTTTATCTGCTCTGGAAGGCGTTTTTAAAGAATGCCAGCTTGATGTATCTGATTTTTAGAAAGTTTTTGTGCCATATCATCGACAAATAGTGAATATTTGGACTCTGTACAGTCACGTGCACAACACTGAAGAACTAAAACTTTGATTTGTAAGGCTAGCATTGAGATTTGGTCTTCTATGGTCTTAAAAGTGAAAACATCGATATTTTGCCGACTAATAACAGTGAGATATTAATACAGGTTTGCAGTGTGTGTGTGAACCTGAGGTCTAAGAATACTTATCACTGCATTGTGCATGGTAAAGGCAGCATCTATTCTTGTTGTGTTGAACTCACACACACCTACAGAGTATGGTAAAAACCTTATGGATGTTTTGACGTACCACAGATGCTGAAAGAGCAAGAAAACTGGGAGGGACAGAGAAAGCTCAACAGCGGAGTAATGAGCTGTTTGAATGAAGCTACAGCAAAAAACAGATCTTTTGTGTTCTTATGAGAAGCTCTTAAACTGTGGCAGCTCAAATTCACTCAAAAACAGGCAGAGTAATTGATTGAAAAGAATCTGCAGTGTTTACAAACTGATTAAAGATCGTAGCCTTTTCCTCAAATACTTTTAAAAAATACTGTAAATCTTTTTAAAAATCAACCTTCGGTTTTATGAATTGTGAGTGTTTGGTTTGTTGGCAGCCACAGTGCTGCAGCCACTTTTCCAGGCTGGCTCTTCCCATTACCTCCTTTGTTTTCTACTGTGCTCCCCCCCGATACAGCACCTGACGCCACACTGGGAAGACACGCAGTCGGCCATTTTTGTGTGTGTGTGTGTGTGTGCGTGCTCTTTGTTAAGCCAGGGTGAAAACCGCAATATCACCTATAATGGGAAATCGATGTAGAGCAAAGTGGAAAATGACTTGGTGCAGTTGGAAGCACCTGCCTGTTAATGTCCCATTGAGGTCTGTGTGTGTGAAGCACCTGGAACTGGATCTCAATGCACACACGATGTGGGTAGAAAATTATAACCAGTTGTTGAGTTTCTTTTTTCCATTTATTGGCTGCATACAAACATTATTATTATAATCTTGATATTTAATTGATGTTCTTACAATTAGTGTATTTATCATCCTTTGTGAGTCTCCTGGAACTGAAGTGACTTAAATAAATGTAGAAATAATAAATCTAGACATGGGCATCTATAGAGAGATGTAGATCAGATTTAAACACTATACTTCTATAAACTGATCTTGTCTTCTACTATCAATACTGAGGAAATCCTAATGTCTTCAGTATCTGCATCTAGTTTTTACTCAAAGTTTATAGGTGAAAGTTAGTTAGTCAAAGTGTAAAAACAGATATCGTGGTTTGTATCGTGCTGCTGCAGCTTTACACACAGACTCGGCTTTTATAAAGAAAATGATAGCGCGTGCAAAGGTTTGATTATTCTCTCCAAGGCCGGTTTTTGTCCTTTCTAATGAAGGCAGAGATTCTAAGAGAGGCAGGAGTCGGAGTCAGACGAGGTCGAGAGTCGGCAGCAGGATGAAAGTCACAAGGAAAAATTGCAATTTCAAGATGAAGTAGTTCAACAATTTGATTTTTTTAATATTGAAGAGGGTTGCAGCCCAAGGACTGAGCTACTCAGACAGGATCAAAACTTAAATATGCTAGAATGTAATGGCAGTGTTCAGGAACAACTAAAATCTTTTTCTGTTAAATGCACGCTTGTCATTTGGGAAGTTGTGAAGCTACATGTCTGTCATTGTCCGTGGTTGTTGTTTTTAAGATCTGACTCGTACAATTCTTGGAAAATTGCATCGTCTATAGCAGTCACCCACTGGATTTTCAGTATTTTAAAATTGTCAATTAAATGTTGGGTACAAGAGAGTACAGAGAATTGGATATTGATATCACTATAGGGTAAGGAAATGAGAACAAGTTGGAAATTATTAGAAGTATGGATTTCTTAAGAAACATGCTGTGATTTTCACTTTGCTTTTCTTAAAAGTAAAGTTTAGACCTGGAGCTGTTGTGTGCTCAATAATCGTACTGAGCATGTTTAAGCAAAAGAACCTCGGCAAAGACAAACCTTCAGAAACATCAACAGTTACAGCGTGAAATGAAATCGCTGGAAGAAGAAAAGGAGAGAAACTGTGTAAATCTAAACCCATGTCAGAAGGTGGAGGAGGTTGTGGTAGATTTAAAGCTCTTTTAAACTGAAGGATGTGTTCGTGCTCCTCTGCTGCCGCCCCTCCTCCCTCTCCTCCTCCTCCTCCTCCTCCGTCAGCCCCTCCTCTCGGACTCTGGAGGATGCAGTAGGTTGTCTGGCCCATTGACTGCTGTTTGGTGATGGAGAATATCGCTGGAGATCAATGCAGAGGGATGAGATTTCCCTGACCCAGCCTTTCTGTTGCTACAGTGGCCAACTCTGATCTCTCACTTTAAGCTGCTCCCAGAGGCCTCAGAAATGTGTGTGTGTGTGTGTATGTGCATGAAGGTGTGCGTGCACGTGTTCATCTGTGTGTGTTATTGCAGCACATCATTTAAAATAGATATTGTGCTAATATTACAACCTAATCCACATTTATACACGTTGGGCAATGACCTTCTACACAGTTGCATTGGTTCGTTCACACGGATACGTTTTTATTTAATTTAGTCGACTGTGCCCATCACTGAATGTCAGCAGGTTCGACATGCAATTTCAATACTAGATATCACTAAATTCTACACACTGTACCTTTAAATTCAGTGGGAAGGATGAGAATACATTTTAGTTTTGAAATGCACTCGTTGTTTTGTCTGTTTCTGTGTTAAAACTAAAGCCTCTCTAGCCAGTTTGTGTATGAACATGGGGAAATGCAAGTTTAATGATAAGTGGCAGATACGAGCACTTGTGGTGGTTAAACCCTGGAAGTTCTTATAAAACATTTAACTATATGTAGTTTCAAAAAGGTCTTTGTTTAAAGCTGAAGACCCCCTGCTACTTATGGAAGTGACACTTTTACTCAAGTAACTTTTATTAATTACAGTGTTTTGACTTAATACGTTTTTCCTTTTGTTTTTCCGAGTGTGACAGTCGGGCTATAAAGTTATGATAAGGTGCATATTTTTACCTCCGGGTGTTTTTAACATCAACCAAACATCAAAATATGGATTGATGTGCAAAGGCTTGTTTGATAAAACTAGTGCATATTCGCTGCTTCTGCACTAATTAGAAAAAGGTATTGATTCAGTTCCGTCACAATTCCTCGAGGATTAATTTGAGGAGTCGAGACAAGGGGGATGACATTTTAATTTTCTAAGATATACGCCTCTTTAATTTCCAGGTTGTCATGCAGGGTTAGATTTTCTTCTAAACTTTGCATTTCACTGTGGAAAAACATGTTTTAATTTTAAATGTTTCGCAGTGTGCAGAGGTTTAAATAATAAATGTAGGTCTGCATTCTTGGGGTTTGACAAATGATTCCTCTGAACACAAAGTAGTTCCTCACAGTTTTGTTTTTGATTCTTTCCCTCTGTCTTTCAAATCCCTGTATGTCGGCGAAGAATAAAAAAAATAAATCTAGGTGTATCACTCCAGCAGCCCTGGGTAGGACGTATCATGGCAGCAATAAAAGGCAGTAAAAAATCCCAGTAGAGTAATGGAGATGGAGTTGTTTGATGGTAATTATGTTTTCGCCACCTTTTCTCAGCCTGCCGGTGGAGAGGATGATTCGCTTTGAGTCGTGTGTGTGTGTGTGTGTGTGTCTGTGTGTGTAAATGGATGCGTGATCCAGTTAGAGTGCCGTGGGACTGCGAGGCGGCGCTCTCATATAAGGTTAGCCTGGAATTTATGATCCTGAGATGCGACAAGAGCTAATTTAGAGCAGCAGGAATGAAACTTATAGACCGGGCGACCATGATTCTTTCATTTTCAGCATTAGAGAACACACAATCTCTCTCTCTCTCTGACACACACACACACACACACTCAAACACACACTGGACGCAGTGGAGATTTTTTTATGTCTGCATTGAGCCAGTGTATTTTGACTGAATGTATTCAGTTTCTATTAGTTTTATTTCACTTTTATTTCCAATTTTGAACTTGCACACTTCAATTTTCCCTCTCGGCATGCATCATAACCCTCTGCTATTACTGGCTAGAGCGATGTGGAGCACGGGAACAAATAGACAAAAGCACTTAACAAGAAAATGAGGAATCAGGTAATGTTGGAAAGCTGAATACCTTGATGGTGGAGATAGATGCAGGCGTCTCATTTGTAAATTAGTTCAGTAATGGTGTCGTGAATGGGAAAGATTTGACTCTGTTCGCTGTTTTTGTGCAGTTTCTACAAATAAATGTCCAGGAAATCTGAAAAATCATGGTTTGGGAATTGACGACAATCAACATGGTTTGTCATTATTTTCACAGTGTTCATTCATTATGAATTCTTTAGCTGCACAGATTATCCTTTGAGGGTGTTTGGGTGACATGTCCGGTTTGAACCCACCTCTCGATCAGTGCCAGCTGGAATCATTAAAATGTGTTAAATATTCAAAACGTACTGATACACACACTGAAATACTTTAATTATTGTTATTATTGGTGTTGCTGCAAAATGTAAAATGTCTACAGACACAACAACAACAGCAGCGGCTCAACAATGTGTTGTGTCCTTGCAAAAGTGTGTAACACAAAAAGCTTCTGTGCACATTTATAATTGTTACTAACAAGTCAGAGCAGATGAACCATTTCATTTTCCCTCCATTCCTAAACCCCCAGACTGAGCATCGAGCTACGATCATAACTTTACGTGTTTCCACCCTTAACAACAAATGATTTTCTTTTTGTACTTTCCACAAACAAAGATTTTCTCGTGACTTGTTCCAAAAAAAATGTAGGTGAAGAAGTGCATCAGAAACATTCATTATTAATCACTGATGTCAGTGTCACAGCTCTGACGAGCAGCAGTTTGTTTGAAAATAACATTTGAACATGAGTGTATTTATAATCTAAGCCTCTCACGTGTGAAGGTTTTCTGTTTTTCTTTTTGTTATTAGATTATGAATAAAACATCAGGCGACAGCACCTCAGGCTCTGTGAAAGTGTTCCAGGGTTTTTCTGCTGTTTTCTGGAGTAAATAATCGGCATAATAAATAATAATGAAAATAATCATTAGTTGCAGCCCTAACATGCAGGAATGCCGCAGCACCCTCAGCTCCCGTTCGTCCGGTAGATATTTTTGTCTTGACGCTGCTATAAATTAGACTGAAGACTGGTCTGTGCTGCAGCTACAGAGGAGGCTTAGAGTCAGAAAAGAAGGAACAGAATCAAGTGGAAGCCTGGAAATGAGAATCCAGGAGAGCAAAAGAAGAAATATATAGAGAGAGCAGAAGGGTGATGAAGGCCAGACCCTTTCGTTGAGTGCTCAATCGGCCGGAATAAAGCACTAAGTCAGTCGCTTGATGGCGAAGGGGAAGGAGGAGAGAGAAAAGGGCACAGCAGAAGTTGAAGGATGAGGGGATGTGAATCGTAATAGATGTTCCTCTCTATTTAGTTCAGGTTCATGCTTTTTTCCAGGCGCACGGCAGAGATAGACGATGGTCTGATGAGGTCAAGCAGAGCCGTCAGCTGTGGTTGTAACCTCTCTGACTGTGTGAACGGAGGGCATTTGTATCCTCTACTTATCAGAGTTCTCCTTCCAGTCCTGATCTGTGCTCAGGGTTAGGTATGCAGGGGCTTCTGAGGGCGGGTATGCTGTTTCTGTAGAAATGCACAGGTGGAAAGTACGACTCCTTTGTGATCTTATAAAATACCCCGTCTGCCCTGAAAGAGAGAAACGCTGCACTGACAAAATCTGCAGAAAGTAGAGAAATATTTATAGTGTAACAAAATACTTTAATGTCTATTTTTTACTGATTTTCTCGTGTTATGTACGAACAGATCTGTTTAAAATGTCAGAAAACAAGTCAAACATTTGTGTATGCCACTTTCTCAGTTTTGTCTCGAATGCTGAATCGCTCACACACACACACACACACCATCTATTTGATATTTCCTCACACATCAAACCCACCTGTCCTAGAATAAGATAATGTGGATTTGGATTGTGAACTTCAGCTCACCACCCTCTCCCTGGTTTGTCTCGTCTCCTCTAGGTGGCCTTCCATACGAATTCAAAGTGGTGATCGCCGGGAACCACGAGCTGACCTTTGATAAGGACTTTATGGCTGAGCTGGTGAAGCAGGATTACTACCGATTCCCCTCAGTCTCCAAACTCAAACCAGAGGACTTTGACAATGTCCAGTCGCTCCTCACAAACTGTGTGTACCTGCAGGACTCGGACGTCACCATTAAGGGATTCCGGATATACGGGACGCCATGGTAAGAGCGCCAGCTGTTCTCCTCCTACATGCGAAACGTCTCTCATCACATTCTACCTCTCGCTTCCGCTGAGTCACATTTCTGTCTTATTGTGTGTGGGATCCCTGAGGTGAAGGTGTGTCAGTGTCTGGCTGTTTTCCAGCTCCACTCTCTGCAGTGACTCTGTCCTCTGCTTCACACTCTCACTCAGGGGCCTCTCTTACATGCAGGGTGCTATTCCCAGCTCGCACATTTCTTTATGAGCTCAGGACCTTCGCCTGCTCCCGGGGTTTACGTTACACCTGTGTTTTGACACAAGGTTAAGTAATACGCGTGGTACCGTGACACTGTCAGGAGGCTCTCAGGTGTGGAGAGTACGCTGGAGGGGAGAGTGTTCGGGCGAGGAACAGTGTGAGCAGCATGTATTTGATACACGGAGGCAGGAGGGAGTGAGAAGTTTTCACTCAGAGAAAATACTCTCCTGAAGTCACTGTTTATAGTGTGCGGTTGTGAATGAGTGTCATGTCCAAATTGATTTCTGGAGTTGGTTCTAGAGCTCGATCGATTTATTGTTTAGCCGTTAAAATCAGCTGCTAAGATCCTTTCACAGACTTATTTGGTATTTATCAATACTTTTTGCTTCTTTTTTTGAAGATGCAAAAGTGGTTTAGATGTTTTGCAGATGACTAATTTACCTGAGAGAAACGAGGCTATGACACTTTGCAACTTTACTTTTCCCCAAGGGGAATCGTTCTCCCAAGCATTTGAAACACGAAACACACAGAGTTGTATTAAAAGCGCGCAAAACATGATAAGAAAAACTATGCTCTAAAATGTATTGCATAAACATGCAAACTGTAGCGTATATTACACCAACAGCAAAACTTGATGCTTCATGCAACGTCATCAATGGTTGAACGTCGTCACTTTCACAATGAGTAGAACAGAAGTCAATTTCAATTCAATCAATTTTAATAGAAATTTAATTCTCTGTTGTCTTAGGGCCACGATGTGCTGTTCTTAAAATAACTCCAAGATTGTATAATATTAAGATACGAAAACAGAGAAACTAAACAGCTTCTTGTATTAGTAAAGCTAAAATAATTTTTAGAAAACCAAGTAAATCACTGATCAATTTTGGAATGAACCCCCCCCCGATAAATCACTTCAGCAATATCAGCATTATTCTAATTAGATTTGCATTTGTCCAGTTCTTTCCAGCTGAATTTATCTCAGACCGATGCAGCCATCTGTGCGCTGTCCTCTCTTTGCTTCATTAATCTTCAGCAAATAGAAAAACTCTGAAGTCTGAAGCGTCTGACAGAACTCGAGCAGTCTTGCGGTCTGACCTCGGCTCGCCTGGGCTGCAGCTGTGCGTTCTGTTGTGTGACGGTCGAGGCTGGAACTTCCCCTGTCCTGCTTTGACTCCCTCTGCTGTGTGTGCTCGCTGCGCAGCGGTTCTCACAAGTCTGCTGCAGACTCAAAATAACTATTTAGGTCACATCTTCATCCTTTAGTGGCTATAATTAGCAGGTTTGCAGCCAGGCTTCAGAAGTGGCGGAGGACAGCGGAGAGTAGGAGGAGGTGGGGGCAGATCCCAGAATTCCTCAGACATCAGAGCAGCAGGGAGAAGAGATTACCCTCTGTTTTCCCTCCATCCTTCCTCCTTTCCATCCTCCTGTTTGAAAGAGGAAGGATGCTGCCCCCCTCTCCCTGGTGGGTGTTTAGTGTGAGGATTGGTAAGTGTCTGTTGTGACAGCTGGGGGTCTCGTGAGAGGCAGAGTGGACAGCTTGGCTGCCCCTCCACCTCTCCTCGGCTTCCTCACCTCCTTCACACCCATATGCCATCGTGGCCCGAGGTCTGGCCTGCTTGTCCAGTGTGAGGTCTCACTTAGCCTCCCAGTGACCCCTCACTTCATCAACAGCTCACCAGCTCGCTGCCTGGGTGGCCGAGCTCCTCCGAGCTCTCAGAGGTCTGCTGCCGCAAGTCGGGGCGCGACGGCATCACTCAGGAAATGTTGCGTGTAACTAGCACCTGATAAATGCTGCTGTGGTCTGCTCTGCTGCTGCTTTAAAACAACAATACACTGTGGTGGGGTTTGAGCTGCCTGACCAGTTCTTTGTATTTTATCACATGCTCACAACCAGCGGTGGAAAAGATATTAAAATCCTACTTTCAATATTTTAATGAAGGGTTGCTGCACTGGAAGATTAACTAAGAGCTGATTTTAGACCTGATTTGACCTGAATTTTGAAATAATCCTGAAGTGTGAGGGGTTCACAAAATAAACTTATCGCCACCAATTGAGTCGGAGCTTCTCCGATCTCGAAATGCAAATATCGAACATGTTTGATGATATTTACGATAATCTGCTCTGACAGAAACCTGCAATAGCGAGAGAGAGAGAGAGAGCGAGTTTACCTGGAAACATCATCAACCAGATGTTGTGCACTCATAAATGTCTGTAAATGTCCAAGGTGACATTTCAAAACCCAAAGACATTTAATTTAAACAAAAGACTGCAACAAATGCACACATTTGATAGGTTGCAATTTCAAATTAATTAAATGAGCAAAGCAATAATCAAAATAATATCTTATTATTATTTTGTCAGTAGAATAATTGAGTCGTGTCTCCAGGGTGAATTCTCCTGATGCTGTGTTTGAAATATTTTGAGTAAAACTCTGACCCAGTTCAGAGTGAGAGCAACGTAGCATGAAAGACACACAACACACACTGTTTAATGACAGATGCTTAACAGAGCAAATACCTGAAGCTCCCCCTTCCTCACACCCACACACACACACACACACGCACACACCCACACACACACACACATACACACACACACACTCACACACACACTCACACACACACACTCTACCCACCCTGACAGTCAAACCTCTCTGAGAGTCTGAAGGTCTCTTGAAGCTGAACTTTGGGATTTTATTCACATCTTAACTTTCTTCTCCAGACAAAAAGTGAACTTAAAACTCTTGAGTCCTTCTATCTGAAGTTCAAACCCATTGAATGTATTTATTAATCTTCATCTTTCGTGATCTCATCTGCTGCTTTAATGCAGCATATGAATCTTTGTTGACTAACAGAAAAATCAACACAGTTCAGATTTATTCTTCTCTCGTCTCATTACTGTCTGAAAACCATCCTTGTTTTTTCGGAGCAGACGGAGAACATTAAGTTAAAGTGGATGGTGAAACACGGCTCATAGCAATGACAATAGCTTCTGACATTTTGGAAACTTCAAATCTCTGCTCTTGAAAAGATCAGCTCTGAACATCGACACGAAATGATTCTATTTAATGATCTATCTATTTTGAGAATAGTTTCATGAGCAAAACAAGTCAGAGTGTTGCTGCTCCAGCTTCTCAAATGTGATGATTCGATGTTGCAAGATTTAAGAAGCTATAACCGCTTTTTTCACTGTTTTCTAAAATCTTATTAGACCAAATAAATCCTTAATTACTTGTGAAAACATAATTGATGATGATTGTCGCAGCTCATAGTGCATGCGAAAGATAAGCCGTAGATTTTGTTAATCATATTAAAAGTATTTTCTTTCCTAATTTTTCCCGGTTGAAGCAGTCGTTGTCTGGTTCTGTCATTGTAAAGAAAATCAATTTTCAGTTTTAAAGACACAGTTTAGAGCTTCAGTCATTAGTTTACTGACTAAATTATGAATTTGTTAAGATATGTAATAGAAATTATCATTACTGTGCACACACACACACACACACACACACACACACACTCACACGGTCAGCTGGGTCCTAACTGCAGGAGGAGTGACGGCAGTGCCGGTTACAGATATGTGAGGAATCCTGCTGATTTTACCAACTGTGATAAGCTGCTGACGGATTCACAACAGAGACATACGAGCCGAGGGCGAGAGACAGAGACCTTCTATGTCTCTCTCTCTCTCTGTGAGGGATTAACCTGTTTTTTTAGATTCTGGACTTGACCACAACTTCACTCTCAGGTCAAAAGTCAAACCGCTGCTTTTTTATCTGCTTCCTCCTCCCTGATCCTCCTTCTTCGCTCCTCCTCTGCCTCAACCACCGGGGAGACTCTTATTCTCTCCTCCCCTTCTCTCACTTCCTCCCCTCTTCATTCTGATTTTCTTCCTTTAATTTCTTCTTTCCCATAAATGAAAACACGCTTTCTCTTTTCCTCTCTCATTCTCATCATTGTCTTTTCTTACTTGTTTTCTTTGCGTCGCATCTTCGTCTTACATCCGTTTACTTCAGAAATGACAATCGCTGTGTTGGTTGGTTTATGCGGTTGATATATTCCGCAGCAAATCTGTCTGTTGACTTGCTTGTGTGCTTTTGAGTGCATGTGTGTGCCTTCCAGAGGCGGCAGATTAAATCCGCCTGCCCTCATTTGACTCTGTGAAGCTCACCTCAGGGGAAACCCGGAGGGCCAAATGCAGATTTGTCATTTGCAGATTTGAGTTTTATTCATGTATTCATATCTTTTTTTTTTTTTATACTGTAAAGGTCGTGTGTGTGTGTGTGTGTGTGTGTGTGTGTGTGTGTGTGTGTGGAAAGAGAGGTATTGACTTACTCTGTCAGCATAATATGGCCAAAGGTATATGACCGTGTCCACACACTTTTGTTTAAACAAAATTCCAGTCAAGTAAATCTGTGGTTATATTTCAGACCGTACATTTTATTATTAGACTGTATGGTTTGTGTAATGTTCCATTCCTGTTCATTTCTGCCCTCGTGCGTGACGCCAAAGTCCATAAAGAAGCAGTTTTCCCAGTTTGGCTTGAATGAGCGTTGACCTCAACCTCATCCAGAACCTTTGACATGAACTAGAACGAGTCAGACTTTATCAGCATTTGACCTCGCTCCTCCGCTGTCGGCTGGAAAGACTTCACAGACGAGCGGAGGCTGACACAGCAGCACAGTAGTGATCCTGGTTTGGAATAACATCTTTCAAGCATCACATATCAGTGTGAGGTTCATGCTTTTGTCTATGTAGTGCACGGCAGGAAGGAC